CTGTCCTGCATCTGTTTATCAAAGAACACTCTTGCTTTATTACTTCAAAGCCTGCCATCTTACATATGATGTTTGTCAAATACCACCTAGAGAAAGGTAGTCACTTGATTGGTACCCCATCATGACACTAGGTATCCACTCCTTTTCCCACCAGCATATCCTGGCCTTATTGATGCCTCATTCCAAAGCACTAAAACTCCTTACCCAACGCCATATTCATCGTTCTAATTCAAGACAGGAGCTCATCCCTAAGTAATGAAGGACTGGCAATACATGCTGGACATACAAGTGATCCCCTCATTGCATATAGAAGTCTTTTCTTTTCAAACATGTACCAAAGTTCAGTTACAAATATCCTACAATTCTCCACTTCTAAGTAAATAAATGGTCATTTCACACATTAGATGGAAAGAAACAGCATTCTGCCTTTGAATAAAGTATTTCTGCACCCCCTTTTATTAGCAACGTAAAGGTGTACACGGGGACAGCCATTAAGGGAGTGGGCCAGTGTTAGATTAGAAGTGCTGACACCTTTGCTTGAGAGATTTTAGCGTGAGGAGGCTGAGCAGGGGTATAGCTAAGAACAGGTAAGGGCTCTTCAACCCTACTTTCTTTCTGTCTAGCCTGAAGGCAGAGGGGATGGCAGTTAGGGCAGTGGCATGCTCCTCTTGCCAGACATGGCCATATGGTTAGAATTTAGAAACATGAAAGGGGATGATCACTCTGTTGGCTTTGTATTTTCAACCCCCAAATAGACAGCGTGTACTGGAGGGGCAGATATGTAGACAGTGCAGATACCCATAGGAAGAATAGGGTAGTATTGGTAGGAGATTTTAATTTCCCCTGTATTGACTGGGCCACCAGAGTGTAAGAGGCCTAGATGGGGTGGAATTTGTCAAATGTATCCAAGAAAGTTTCCTATATCTGTGTACAGGGTCCTACTCAGGAAGGTGCAACAGTGGCCCTCCTCTTAGGAAACAAGGTTGGGCAAGTGACTGATGTGTCAGTCAGAGAGCACTTTGGGTCCAGTGACCATAACACACTTAGTTTTAACATACAGTTATGGAAAAAGATAGGACAGATCCACATGTTAAGGTGCTCAACTGGAGCAGGGCCAATTTTGGGGACATTAGGCAGGATCCAGCAGAGGTCAATTGGGTGAGTCTGTTTGAAGGAAAAGGAACAACTGGCAAATGGGAGGCTTTTAGAAGTGTGATATCAAGAGTCCAGGGACAGTATGTCCCTGTTAGGGTGAAGGGATCCCTGGCTGACGAGGGATTTTGAGGCTCTAGTCAGGAAAAAGAAGGCAGCATACATTGGGTTTAAGCTACTGGGCTCAATTGAATCCCTAGATGACTATAAGTAGTGCGGGAGCAGGTTTAAGGAGGAAATCAGAAGAGAAGAGGGTTGGAGATTGATCTGGCAGATAAGGCTAAAGATAATCCCTGGAGGTTTTATAGCTATATTAAGAGTAAAAGGGTGGCTAGGGAGAGAATAGGTCCTCTTAAAGATCAGCGTGGCCTTCTACATGTAGAGCTACGGGAGATTTTTTATGAATATTTCTCCTCAGTGTTTATTCAGGGGAGAATCATGGATGCTAAGGAAACAAGGGAAACAAGTGGAGATGTTTTGGACTGCATGCACATTACTGGACAGGAAGTATTTGCAGCCTTAAAGTGCATTAAAGTGGATAAATCCCCTGGGCCTGATCAAGTCCATCCTGGAAGTTGTGGGAGGCCAGGGAAGAAATTTCAGAGGCCCTTGCAGAGATTTTTGCTGCATCTTTAGCCACTGGTGAAATTCCAGAAGACTGGAAGGTGGCTAACGTTGTTCCATTGTTTAAGAAAGGTAGCAAAGACAAGCCAGGGTACTACAGGCCAGTGAGCCCGACATCAGTGGTAGGCAAGTTATTGGAGAGGATACTGAGGGACGGGATCAATCAACATTGGGATAGTCAAGGTCTGATTAGGAATAGTCAGTGTGGATTTGTGTGCAGGAAGTTATGTCTGACAAATCTTTTATGGTTTTTCAAAGAGGTAACCAAGAGGATGGATGAGGGTAGGCCAGTGGATGTTGTCTATATGGGCTTTACTGAGGCCTTTAACATGAAAGTTAGGTCGCATGTGATCCAGGGGAAGCTAGCTAACTGGATTCAAAATTGGCTTGATGATAGGTTGTTTCTCAGACTGGAGGCCTGTGACTAGTGTTGTGCCACAGGGGTCAGTGCTAGGACCTTTATGTGTTATTTACATAAACGATCTGGACGTGAATGTACATGGTATGATTAGTAAGTTTGTGGATGATATAATATTAGGAGGTATCATTGATAGCAAAGATGGCTATCAAAAATTACAAAGGGACCTTGATCAGATGGGAAGTGGGCTGAGGATTGGTAAATGCAATTCAATACAGTTAAGTGTGACGTAATGCATTTTGGAAAGTCAAACCAAGGTAGGACTTGTGCAGTAAATGGTGAGGTCCTGAGGAGTGTTGTGGAACAGAGGGACCTAGGAGTACAACTACATAGTGCGTTAAAAGCGTCATCACAGGTGGACAGGGTGGTGAAGAACACATTTAGCATGCTGGCCTTCATCGGTCAAGGCACTCAGTACAGGAGCTGGGATGTTATGTTACGGTTGTATAAGTCATTGGTGAGGCTGCACTTGGAGTATTAAGTTTTGGTCACCCTGTTATAGGAAAGACATAGTTGAACCGGAAAGTGTGCGAAGAAGATTTACGAGGATGTTGCCAGCACTAGTAGGCCTGAGTTATAGGGAGAGGTTGGCCAGGATAGGACTTTATTCCTTGGAATGTAGGAGAATGAGGAGTTACCTTATTGAGGTGTATAAAATCATGAGGGGCACAGATAGGATGAATGCATATAGTCTTTGTCCAAGGGATGGGGAATTGAAAACTAAAGGGTATAGGTTTAAGGTTAGAGGGGATAGATTTAAGGAGGACCTGAGGGACATCATCTTCACACAGAGAGTGTGCGTATATGGAATGGGCCGACGGAGAAAGCGGTTGAGGCAGGTACAACAGCAATATTTAAAAAACATTTGGATAGGTATATGGATGAGAAGGGTTTAGAGGGATATGGATCAAATATGGCCAATTGGAACTAGGTGAGTGGGCACCATGGTCAGCATTGGGTCAAAGGGCTTGTTTCCACGCTGTATCACTCCATGAATCTAAAACGGACCTCAATGGCCTCAGATCTTAGCTGCACAGTTCCTTTTCTTCTTTTTACTTGGTTTGCAGAAGAAAAGAAAGTGAATGACATACTTGGATGCTTGGGTGGTGAGCTCCAGCAAAAACAAAGCTGATGTGGTAACATTCATCTCTGAGCCAAACACTTTATTTCTTCTCCCACGCTTCTCAGACACTGGAGTACGCTGCCGGTTGTTTCTCATGCCTCCATTTCTACTCTTCTTTACCACCCTCCCTTTTAAATCACCCAGAAATTCTGTCCATCAGTGTCAGAAACCTCACTTCGATTTCTCTCCTATTATCTTGAACTATTATTTTTACAACCTAACTAATACCGACTTCCCTTTAAGCACTTTGTAGGTCATTCAATTGCATCTTTCGTGCGTACTTCTCCTGTTTTAGTTCCTCTGCAATACCTTCCAGTTCTAATGAAGAGTCTGCGCCTGAAACATTAACTCCTCAGTATCTTCCTGCCTCAAAAGTGCTTCTATACAGTTAGTTTTATTTCAGATTTCAAGCAAATGCAGTTTTCTTTAAAAAAGCACATCCAAAGCCATGTCTCTTAAGTATGAGGAAGAGAAAATGCTTCCAAACTTTACATTGGTTTGTGCAGAAACCCTCAAAATATACAAAGATAAAAACTGTAGCAATGGCCATCATCTAAATGAGGTGCTAACATCAGCAGCTCTGCCACAGAAATGAGTGCAGACCAAATGTTTACACGAACTGTAGGATACTTCTACTTTAGCAGGACGACCAAGACTGCAAATGGCAAAATTCACCAGTAATGACACTTAATCAGAAACAATTCAAATTCTTGACAGCCCTCGGAAGAACGTGTCCTTTCTCATGGGTCTCACGATCCATGTCATATGCAGTGAGCAGATTCAGTATGATTTCATTAGATGCAAAGCAGAACTGGAGCTTAAGTAAACTGACATAAAGATTGACTCAGCATAAAAATTCTCAGGGTGCCCCCGCCCAAACTCCATCCTGTTAGTGCTATCATACAGTACTGTATGAAATAGCAGGTCTATATTTGCCAAGTTGCTCAAGAAAGAAAATAGTACCAATTTACAGAACAGGCTCATCAAGTTGACATGTTTCATGATCTGGGTTTAAGGTCAATGTGGCTTAAAATTAAGAGGACAAATTATACTAAACTATTCTTATACAATCTATTGTTATGACAGGTTGGAATCAGTATATGGTTGATACACTGCTGAGACAATCTCACTAAGAAAATCACAATATTTCCAATTCTTCTGTCCTCTAAAAGTGCTCCCTTTCAGTTACTTCACTGGAAAGGTGTAATAATTGCAGAGGTGACCAAATAGCTACCAAGTCTCCATCTTGACAAATGAAATTTATAAAAATAACCTTCGTAGTGATTTGGTGATTTAACAAAATATTTAAATAATACAAGTAACAACTAACAAAGAAGTTTTCAATTTGTAATTCCTTGATTACAAAGTTTAGCTCAATTTATTTTCTTCCTTCTGTAAACTGCTCTACCCAAAAAATGCAAAAGATTTTGACTCACTTTCATTTTGTGCACCAAAATTTCCTGGCTTGAATAAGCAATTTCACTTTAATCTGAAATATTCAAGTTAAATATTACCTTAAGATTAAACAGAACTCGATCATTTGGTACATTAAGACCACCTCTGTATACTGATCAATACAATTACATTATTATTCAATGAATTATACCAATAAAATGTAAATTCTGAATTCTACTGGCTGTAATTTCTTTTCCCAAAGAATCATGACTTGAATAATCTACTAACCTTGTGCCTGCATTTTAGTACCACCCCATAGGCTCCTGCAAAATAAGAAAACAAATTATACCTTACAGTTTTGAAATCATACACTTAAACATTCCTCTTCCCCATTCCCTCCCTTTTCAGCCAAAAGCTTCTTCATTGACAGGTTCCAATTCCAGTGACACTGATCACATTCCAGTATATAACTCAGGTAGCTTTGTACACCTGGCAAGTAACAGTAGGCACTCTAATCTCATGCAGCATTACAAGTGAGGCTAATTGTGATGTCAATATACATGTTCCTAGTTGGATCACCTGTACTGTGCAGGTGTAGAACCCTGGCTGGTGTATGCTTGGCTATTTCAGAGGCACTATGCTTAATTCTTGCCTTGGTTAAGTTCATTTAACAACCACAGATGGCACGATTTGGCTTCAGACATACCTTGTTTATATGGTTCAGGTTTTTAATGGGTAAACTTGTGGTGTTTGCAGGGTGAAATGACAGGAGTAAAATAAAATGTTAAAACACATTGAATTGCTTTGTCAATTCTTGCAAAAATACAGAATATAAATTTGTAACCAGTGGGTTGCTCATCACATTGTTAGCTTCCTGAAGTAAGGACAATTAAATCAATTAATCGGCACGACAAAATTTCTTTCACAATCTCAGTCATTTCTTGAACTGCATTGAAACAACACAAAGTTGGTACCAAACAACTTTCTAGGAAACAGCACCTAGCAAACCCATATGGCTAAGTTCAAGAGCCTCCTGCTGGAGGCGTGAAATCACATGTCTGAATACATTGAAAGCACAATCCGCCATTACCTCCACGACAGACCACAAGATGACACAACATGGCCAGACACACGAGTCACCCTACCGTACATCAGAGACATATTAGAGATGACCACAAGACTACTCAGACCTCAAGGTATCAGGGTTTCCCACAAACCAACAACCACCCTGCGACAGCTACTGATGAACGTAAAGGATCCCACACCCACAACCAATAAAACTAACATATACAAAATACCATGCAAGGACTGAGAAATATTACACAGGCCAAACTGGAAGAAAACTGACAATAAGGAGACACAAACACCAACTAGCCCCAAGAGACACTACCAATTCTCACTGGTCTCAATACACACAGACAAAGAAGGACATGAATTTGACTGAGACAACACATGCATAATAGCACAAGCCAGAGACACACCAGGGAATTCCTGGAGGCCTGGCATTCCAACCGGAACTCCATCAACAAACACACTGAACTGGACCCGACATACAGAAAACAGAACCAGAAGTGATGCCAACCACGGCTTATAAATTACAAATGGGACAGAACGCAAACGCAAGCGCTTCACCGGAGGCACACTGACGATGTTACCTAGCAGTGTGACGAAACATCTACAAACACACCGGCTCGGCGAGCAACCTCATCCACAACCTGAGCGACAAATCATCTCAAAAGCTTTAAAATTAACCTTCTTTTTACATTTTTTATTTCATCTATTTTAAAATCACAAATGCAACAATATCACAAAGCTCTGGGGCTTGAACTCTGATTTTTGCAAAGCCAACAACAGGGTAGTGAAAAATCATCTATTTATAGTGTTGCCAATAACTCTATCTCCTCCTTGACACAAAAGACACAGAGTGTACCTTTGCCATTACACTACCATTAAATTCAGGTAGAATGTGTTTATCTGGAGAAAGTTATATCAAAACAAACACTTGTTCACGTCAGTCAAAACTCCCAAACGTACCTTCACCTACAATTCCAAGGACTTCAAATTTATTCATTACATCACCAAGGTCAGGAATCTTCATGAAGACAAATTTCTGTGATAAGTATGATCCCAAATGATATCGTAGTTGTGGACTTTTAAGTGTAACTTGCTGCAGGCATGTATCGTGCAGTGTCCATAAAGCCACGAAGTCCAACAAATCAAATTCACATCCTTCATATTCGTCATAGTCTAGTCACAATGAAAACCCATCTGGAAGAAAGACAGTGTTTGTAATTACCAACTCTGAAGCGATCTTCAGGCACAAAATCTTATTTGGAAGTGAAAAGCTTACTTTTACTAATCATATTTCAGAGACATGATCACATTCCAAATTGTATTTAGACAATGTGGATAGTACACATTCTATTCAATATGCATGCTAAAATTCTTAAGTTACCTCAAGACCCTGCAGCTGAAACAAGGAAATATTCCCTAATCCTTACATTCTCAAAATAGTCTTTATACTCAATGGAGAAAAGTGAATTTTCATAAACCCTTCCATAACCTTTAAACAAAAATAACTTGACATTCCTCAAAATCCAATAACATTCAACAATTTTAGCATTGCTTCAAGGGCATGCTCCAGCAAGTTCTAGCACGAGGGATGTGGGCTTATGGGAATGGGAAGAGACATTTTCTAAAAGTGATGATTAGCCCCCAAAGTTACACATTAAACCCATAATACCATCTGAAAAGGGATCATTGCCAGAAAATACATTGGCATTCATCCAGGAGCTTTTATTTATTGAACTTCAGTTGGTACTGCAAGTACATTTGGATGAATTGACACAAAGGATTTCTCAAGGTGGCAAAAGTAGCCATTGAAAACATGACAGATTTATTTTCACATTCCAGAAGCCATAAAGATGGTCAAATTAACATGTAAAAGACACTTAATCATAACCCAGCATTATTTCTTTTTCATGAAATGATGATTCAGACCAATTGAGTTCACAACCATTCGGCATCAGTCTAATCCAGGAATTCCAAGTGAAACAAGGAAGGGGACAGGGCAGAGAAGACAATTAACTAGTCCAGTAAGAATGGAAGAATCTATTAGTTTTCCATCATGGTACTCTTCTTCATTATGAATGGCTTTGTTGCCAGGCACAGGAGGAAGACACTGTGAGCACCCACTGGCACAGATGTCCACAACACACTTCTAAAGGCTAGACATTTGACCATGTAACATATCATGCCGCGCATGCATTTTCCAAAAATACTATGAAGTGTTTTTTCTAAAGATTTATCAAAGTGGTTGCATTTACTGTTACATCCAACATTTATCCAATTCATGACTTTTGCCTTATTCCTTCATGGACGTGGCTGTCACTGGCTAGGCCAGCATTTAATGCCCATCTCCACATGTTATCAAGGTGATATTGGTGTGATGACTTCCTGAAACTGCTAAAGTCCAGAGGGTTAAGTGATACTAACTGTGCTGTTGGGTGGGGAGTTCCAGGATTTTAACCTACTGACGATGAAGGAATGGCTGTGTAGTCCCAAGTCAGGATGATGTATGGCTTGGAGGAGACTTGCAGGTGGTAATGCTCCTATTCATATTGCTGTCTTAATGCTTCGAGGTGGTAGCAGTAAAACATACTGAAGCTGCCGACAAAGGCATCTTAATCAGTTAGAGAATCCCCATAGTATGAAAACAGGCCATTTGGCCCATCCACTCCACACTGACCCTCTGAAGAACATCCACCCAGACCCACACCTCCATCTCCCCCAGCCCCCAACTGCATCCCCATCCCAGTAACCCTGCATTTCCCCTGGCTAACCCACCTAACTTGCATATTCCTGGACCCAATGGGCAATCTAGCATGGCCAATCCACCTAAGCTTCACATTTTTGGACTGTGGGAGGAAGCCGGAGCACCCAGAGGAAACCCACACAGACATGCAGAATGTGCAAATTGACAGACAGTTGCCCAAGGCTTGAATCAAACCCGGAGCCTGGTGCTGTGAGGCAGCAGTGCTAACCACTGAACCACAGTGCCACACAGTGCAGCATTTCTTGCAGTGTATCTTGGAAACAGTACACACTACTACCACCATGCATTGGTGATGAAGGGTATGAACATTTTAGGTAATGGATCAAGTGGGCTACTTTGTGCGGGATGATGCTGAGCTTCTTGAGCGGTGATGGAGTTGCACTCATCCAACCAAATGCAAAGTACTCCATCGCTTTTCTGACATGTACCTGGAATGTGTGGACAGGCGTTAGAGAGTTCTACAGCAGTATTTGCAGCATCAAGTAATTTTTTGCCAAAACAATTTTAAGTACAGCTGCAAGCCAAGCCATGCCCTTAATTTGGCGCCAGATTTAGACTGCTAAATAGAAACAGCAAATTCCCACCTGAGATTGCTAAATATTTGTGGACATCTGCCTTTAAAGTCAGCAGAGAACATTCTTGCTTGGTTGTTGACTGCAAAATTGAGGCCACTAACTATTTGCTTTCCTTTCACTGCCATTATAATAAGAACAGGACTCAGAAGTCGTAGCTACTATGCCATTTGTATGATCATGGTTCATGTAATTGTGCTCTCAACTCCACTTTCCTGTCTACCTCCATATCATTCTCGATCAAAAATCTATTTAACTAAGTCTGGAACAAATTCAACGATATTTCAAATAATCCATAATTATTGGTAATTACATAGTTCCGTGCCATGACGACAATGTCACTGGAGGTAATTTCCTCCTCATATTACTAGAAATTATTTACGAACAATAAGGGTAGACTTGTCCTTCATTATGTTCATTCCTTTTCACCAAGTAGAAGTTTCTTCACTGCACCTCTGATATGGCATAGCCAACAGAGACCCGTGCGGCATGGAAATCAAGATCTATTTGTTTATAAAACAAGGCATATTTTGATGTTCATGAAATTTTTTTTATCTTTGGGATTCAGTTTTAAAACCATACAATTGTGTTAAATACAGTTCTTTGCATTTTCTCCAATTTAGGCATCTGGTATAATTGTGTCTTTCAGCCAAGAAACTATACCATATAATCAGTCGCCTCAATATCTTTTACATCTGCTTACACAAAAGCAGCCCCATCAGTCCTGACATCTTCCATGTGGTTCACAACTTCCCACTTATGTCAACAGGGTAGCAGTTCACACTGGCCATAATTTCATGGTCATATGACTAGGTTCACATAATACCGCAAAATTCCTACAAGTAATTAGTAGAAGCTGCAGAATTCAGTATGTGGACAATTTCAACCAGAATGTTTCGCTGCTATCTGCAGATCGAAGGAAAAAACACAACTAGCAATTTTACAATAGACAGGTGCTCTCCATATTACACATGTACTGCAAAGCATATTTATTCAGGTTCAATCATAAATTTAATAAATACATCATATACACTGGTTCTTCAGGTTTTTCTCACCATTTCAATCTTGACAAACGGATCATGTTTAATGGGAAATCCCCACAAAATTGGATACAGAATGTTTAAGTTGAAGCACAAGCTTTTAAAAATCATTTACATCCAGGTTGCAGACAAAACATTATTTAGAGTTACTAAAGACTTAAACATTTATCTCAGCCACAAGTTAATATGCAGTGCACCTTAAATTTTGTTTGGCCCATGCTTACATCAAATCTGTTAGCGCAAATACATATGCAATATTTTTCATCATCTAAACACATTAAAAATGCATGTCTTACGCTGATAACTCCTGAACTAAGTATGAATAGGATACCGACTTCAACAGTACACCTTACATTTGTACATTAGTCTTATTATTTTAAGCATCAAACATTTAGCAGCTAAACAATAATACGACTTTTGTAGAACATTACTAAAAGAACATGAATTTTGTCTTATAACACAAGGGAGGGCCTTTATGGTCAAATGCTTCAGAGAATACTGCAACTTGCTAGCATGTTAATTAAAATTTTCTTCAATTTGAACAATTTAATTGCAAAGGCCCTATTTTTAAAAATGATTCCAAAGATTTTTCTTTTTAAAAATGCAATTGATACTTAGCCCATAATTGCACAGTTGATTACCCATGATCTTGCGATTTCAAAATTTTATAATTTACTCTAAACACACATTTCAGCTGCCAACCCCTCGATCAGCACCTCATCTACTCCCAACATGATTGACAGCAACGTAAACCATACATATGATACACTGCAGTAATGCACCAAGGCTCGTTCAACAGCACCAGCCAAACCTGTGACCTCTAACACCTAGAAAGACAAGGGCAGCAGATACATGGGTATACTACTAGTGACAAAATCCCCACCAAGCCACTCCTCGGCCCATTGGCCCATCTTATCAAAGACCCATTGTACTGAGATAACCCTCTTCACTGTCCACTACACCTCCAATTTAGCGGTCATCTGCAAACTTACCAACCATACCTCCTATGTTCTCATCCAAATATCATTTATATAAATGACAAAAAGCAATGGACCCAGCATCGATCCTTTTGACACACTGGTGGTCACAGGCCTCCAGTCTGAAAAGCAACCCTCAATCACCTCCCTCCGTCTTCTACCTTTGAGCCAGTTCTGTATCCAAATAGCAAGTTCTCCCTGTATTCTGTGCAATCTAACCTTACTAGCCAGTCTACCATGAGGAACCTTATCGAATACCTTACTGAAGTCCATAGATGACATCCAACACTCTGCCCTCATCAATCCTCTTTGTTACTTCTTCAAAAGAACTCAATCAAGATAAATATGAGGTGCTCATTTTGCAAAGGCAAATCAGGGTAGGACTTATACACTTAACAGTAAGGCCCTGGGGAGTGTTGTGAACAAAGAGACCTTGGAATGCAGGTTCATAGTTCCTTGAAAGTGGAATCACAGATAGATAGGATAGTGAAGTCGGCATTTAGTATGCTTGCCTTTATTGGTCAGTGCATTGAGTATAGGAGTTGGGAGGTCATGTTTTGGCTGGAAAGGACTTTGGCTAGGCCACTTTCAGAGTATTGCGTGCAGTCTGGTTTCCCTCCTATAGGAAGGATGCTGTGAAACTAGAAAGTGTTCAGAAAAGATTGACAAGGATGGATCCAGGACTGGAAGGTTTGAGCTATAGGGAGAGGCTGAACAGGCTGGGGCTATTTTTCCTGCAGTGTCGGAAGTTGAGGGTGACCTATAGAGGTTTATAAAACGATGAGGGGCATGGATAGGGTAAATAGGCAAGGTGTTTTCCACAAAGTGGCAGAGTCCAAAACTA